TTCTATACGATCATGCGCAAACGAAGCTCGTCTCTGGTGCGCCGGGTGCGGGCTAGCCCCAACACCATTCTGAGCTCGATAGCGGAAAGGTTCGACTGTCCATACGTGAGGCACTGCTGTGAATTGCATGTTTCCAGCAGTGTCTATTATAATTTTGTACTTACTAACATTAGCATTAAATGATTTTATTAACAAATAATATGTGTCAGTGTTACATGAAATAAATGTATTATACTTATTATTCTTATTATATTGACGTGGCATTTAGAGTTTGGAGATCGTTTTAGTATTAGCATGTGTAAATGTTAAACTGTATAAATAGCTAGCAATTTATTATTAAAATCAGTCTTTCACCAGCAGTCGAGTCTAATTTGTCTCCTGCTAACGTTTTCGCACTGTGGCCTTAACCGCCAGTAGATGGGCCTTGTGAGTCTGCTTGACCGGCAATGAGTAAAGACAGTTTTTAGTAGAAGTAGAGCTCCTTGTGAAAGAGCTCGTCCAGGGAAGTACGGCCGCCGTAATGTGAGCATTTTTACATTCAGATTTTAAGGGTATTGGCGAAATTACTGGTACATGGGACTTGTCAACGTATGACTCAAGGTGACGTTTTCGCCAAGCAGTGTTTTTTTTATAATATCAAGTGACTGGACATACAAGTCGTGTGTCTGATGGTAAGCTACACGCTTGTCCATAACAGTTGCAGTGCCACTCAGAGCTTTAAATGGCAAAGACCTGAGGGGCACTGCCACTGCGTCCATCACTCTTAGACATACGTTGACTAGTCCCATGCGCCTGTAATTTCACCAGCACCCTTCAAAACCAGAACACAGTAATACTGACATTACTGCTTGACGGCAGAAGTAGGTAACGTGACAGTACTAACCAGGACGAACTCTTTCACAAGGAGCTCCTGCTACATAGAGTAGTGTGTTGTGAGCATTACTGCATTCCAGTTTTGAAGGATAAAGGTGCTGGTGAAACTACAGGCACATGGAATTTATCAACTTTATGTCTCGGGTGACGGGGGCGGTGGCCGAACCTTTCCGGTCTTAGCGATTTAAAGCGTCGCGTCACTTGATATGATAAAAAAAAGTCGATGGAACCCTCTAAGAGTCACGCGATCAGTAATGCGCGTGAACAAAGTTGGACATGACAGTATTGAGCAACAGGAAACGCATTAACCGACAATAAAAGATATTAACATAAAATATTCAACAATTAATCGATTAAAGAATAGGAATATTAATTGCTTTGCAGCAGTTGACTGTGGCAGAGGTTAAGTCTGCTTTTGTATTCAAATAGTGTTTTTTGTCGCCTGCATTTTTTCAAGTCCGAAAATTCGAGGTACTTGAAATTCGGTAAGGTGGTTACATCAGTATAAGTTAATGAATAAATAATTCGTTTCGCAGAAATGTGTACTTTTAACTTGATAATTAATTAGTTTAGTTTGAGACCAGGCAGTTGGTGCGGTTATCTCACGTCCACTACTGAACATAGGCCTCTCCCAAAGAACGCCACAACGTCTTGTCCTGCGCCGCTTGTATCCAGCAGATTCCCACAATCTTCACCAGGTCATCAATCCACCTTGTGGGTGGTCTGCCGACGCTGCACCTTCGGTCATCACTCGACAACTCTTCGGAAACATTGGCCATCTGTTCTGCGAGCAATGCGTCCTGCCCACAGCCACTTGACTTTTGCTATTCTTTGGGCTGTGTCGGTTATTATAGTTTTTTTGCGGATATCCTCCTTACTGATTCGATCTTGCAGTGAAACTCCGTGAAAACTCTTTACGTGATCTTTAACCGTCTTCTGAAGCCCATAGTAAGCTACCACGTCTCCGTGAAGTGACCCACGTGAAGTTTTACAATAAGGATTTGTGATTTATGGGCCTGTTTTCTCTTTTCAAGAACTTTGATGGGTGTGACGACGTGTTGAACAAATGTAAGAATAGTGAAGGAAAAGAGAATTAAACGATTCAAAATTTCAAAAGTAAGTAACGAGAAATCAGAAAAGAAGAGGATAAAAAGGTTGCGATGGATGCGATGAAAGAGGTCAGTATCGTCACATAATTTTAAGCGAATGGTCGCCGTTATATAATGAAACTAATTAGGTATCTGGATTTTTACTGATAGTGGCTTAACTGTAGGAAGATGCATAATTTTTCTCCTTGAAATATTATAGTTTCATTAAAACATAAAAATATTTGTTTCGTCACCCAGTTAGATACCTTTACAGCTACTAGCCCCGGCTAGAGATGGCGCTATTCGCTGTATTTAAATTTTTATTGAATTGATATTCAACTGTTTTTTATGTGAAATTACCCCAATTATTAATACAAAGATCGAACACTCAGAAAAAAGCTTAGTTGGTATAGCTTCTGACACGGTATGCTAGAAGATGTCGGTTCGAATCCGGCCGGATCGAAGGAATTTTTTTAGTGTTCGATCTTCGTATTAATAATTATAACAAACCAGTGGAGTAATTTGACTTAAAAAATAAATGAATATCAATTCAATAAAAATTTAAACACTGTGAATAGCGACATCTCTAGCCGGGGCTGGTAGCAGTAAAGGTATCTAACTGGGTGACGTAATACTTTCATAGATTTCTCGTAGATGGCGCTACGGCTAAAAAGTAGTTGAAAAACCAAATACAAAGACACGACAACAAGCACGAATAAAAATATTGTTGACCATGATAATTGCGTTTATTTCAAAGTATTTTTTTGTAAAATATTTGTTTTTTTACAATAATATAAGGCGATATTATGTACGTACATACTTAGTATTGTGATACTAGAGAAAGCTCGAAATTGTACTCGTATATACCTATAGTAGTGCTCCATTTGCATAAAAACCACGAATACAACCTCAAATTCTTCTGTAAACTCACAAATACCGCTACGTATGCAATTCCTAGGTCTCGAGGTGATATTAGTGCATTATTTGTAATAATTTTCAAATAACATTGAAGGTATTTTAAAGTAAACTTTTTGTTTACCATGAACAAAGTTTACAACTCCCAAAACAGGGTAGCGTCATAGACGGCCATAGACAAAGATCATTAATATTGGGGCGATACGCGGCGACACTCCATTTATCATAGTCGTAATTAACAAACAGCCTGGTCTATGGATGCATTCTAATTGATAAATGTTTTACAAACAGACTTACAAGTTGTATAAGTATTTAGGATGTAAGGTGGTTACCACCTGTGCTAGCTTTAAAGTCTATGCTATGCTACATTGTTGCAAAAACGGAGATACAATCCATTTTAAATTTGTTTCTTGCTTTTAATGAGCGTTCGTTAGCATTAAATGTGGCCAGAAATGTTTGTCTTATTTTTTTGCATTTTTGCACTAACTCTGGAATGTTTTGCACTAAATGCACAATATTATCCATGTAATCGTTGCTTTTGACAAGAAAAACGTAACAAAAACATATTAATATGATATCCAAAATAATGTGATAATGCAAACGTAATTGTATTGACCGTTTACAGTAAGAGTAGATTTTTTCTTTCTCTTAAAAAATACTTCTTATCTTATTCATAGGATTTTTTTTCGTATTTAAATGGAGTATATTTGTTTTTTCAAACAAACCTACGTTTAAGGCCCTTTACAGGTGTCATGGTAACGGTTGACTAACAATTCGATATTCTTATAACTTATTGTTTGTCACTTTATTATATTGTTTATTTCGATATGAATACAATAAACAGTATAATAAATTTCGTTATTCGCTCATTGGTGCTACATTGACGTAATTGTAATTTTGGCAAAATTGAGTCAAGTATGTTTTCACAAGTGTGACATAACACGTTTGAAGAACAAGACTAAAAATTATTTAAAAAAAACAAAAACTCTGCTGTAAAAATATTTAACTGGAAAGATAAAAAAAAATCCCCCTTACTATTTTGATTATTTGTTATAGCCCAAGACACTTCCACACTCAAGACGAATCTAGCGGCGCCTTATGTGTCAAAATCCATCAAGCCGTTTAGGTTGTACAGTGTGAAAAAGAAATGGACATGCGTACATACATACGCTTAAAAAACATAACCCTCCCGCAGTTGGGTAAAACAGCAGTAAATTTAAATTTATATATATTGAAAAAATACGCAAAGTTTTATTGACGCGTCATAAATTAAAAATAAAATTAAAAAATCAATTCAAATCCATTTCCTGTAACATTACAAGAAATACAATTGCGTCAGTGTAGCACCAAATGAGCGAGGAAAAACTCATAATTTTTGTAGTTTTAACTCATGTAGAATTAAAAGCTAGCTAATTGAAACGTTTTATTTAATAATATTTTATTACTGTTTTATAAATACTGCAATATGCAGTCGTTTTTTCAAAAAATTAGGAAATAGTGCCACATTTAGTGACAGTCTTCTGTTTTTTGCCATGTGACAAATTCACAGAAAATCATGTTTAAAATGTACCTTTTGAACTTTCCATTGTAAGAGATTTCGTAAATTATTCGCAAAAAAATTAAATAAGCTACTCTTCTAGGTACTATTGGAATATAATTGATAACAGTTTTACGCAAATTCTTATTATTCTTAACAACATTTATGTCACGTTTATTTAAATACAATTAATGCGGGTAAGGAAGATTTTAAAATGTATATTAAATTACTCACATGTCTTTTATATTATGTAAGCATTTAATTATATATATTATTATATTTATTAACTTAGGGACGTAAGGAAGTAATTGTAATAATGGTGGACTCGTTCCAATAAAATGGGCCAAGTTCATTCGATTAACGGAAAAATTTTATTCGAATTCCTATTTGAGATTCATGAATTTAAATTATTTGAAAAGATTGGTGCATTTTCAGTGAATTAAGTATATTTAAGTTTTTGTAATTTTAACACACAAAGCTGTAATAAGTGTAGAGTCGCTAATCTGAGTTTTGTTATTTTTTTGTTGTGTTATTAAGAGTAGTTTTAAACATTTTTAAAAGCTTGGATATGGTTTTGTGGTACTTACTGTTAGGTGATCCACCTCTGAACATGGGATTGGGCGCCATCCAGGGAAACGCTCCGAAGGGCCAGGTCGGCGGCGGCGCTGGGCCTTGGTACAACCGCGGCAACAGCGGCTGTGGAACAACAACCCCGCTTCTTTCCATCTCTTCTCCATCATTAATGTTGTCTCTTTCTTCTCGATCGTCACCAGCGTTGGATTCGACATCTTCGATATCAACGTCGCTGTCGTCGGTTTCGATCGCGGCGTCCGTGCTTTCCGCGTCGTTGCTGTGGGTATCGGGGCTTGCATCCTTTTGCGGTGGATCGTTTCTGGAGCCGAGTAGAGAGTCGACGCTAAAGGAGATGCGGCCTTTCCCGCCGGTCTCGGCGGCCTCGGCCCGCTCGCATTCGAGCGCCGTCTTCATTTCATCTGCTCGATGGCATTTCAAGGGTAGGAGGCTCGGCTTGCTGTCCCGATGGGTCAACTTTATGTAGTCATCGTTTTGGATGTCTATTTGGATCGTGAAAATTGAAACTTTTTTTTATAGTTTCTTATTTTTAGCTCGAGAGTGTTTGTTTCTTTTAATAGGTTTCCAATAGGATTTGTCTCGGTTGTTTGTACTTTTGTTTATGATTTACTTAACTGTTAAATTCTATTAAGTCTGTTCACACATCTGTTGTTGATAACGAAGACTAATTCCTGATATTTTGTGAATTGATTTTTTTAGGCCAACGACTGAATTTGTTACAATTGGCATACATTTGTATTGTTTGCAGAATAATTTACATCTATTAAGCACACAACTAGTACTAATTTAATTAGTTGCACAGTTCACGTGAAATAGCGAATCAATACAAAATGAGTCAATTCAGCACTTCGATGCAGTCACAAATCGAATTAGCACAATTTGCAACACTAGTATTCTAATGTTGTGAAGCGGGCCGTCCCATATTCAAATTCGGATGAGTCCGTTTGAATTCGCGCTGTGGTGCAACTTGCGAATGTGTTCGGAAACGCGCAACGTGTCCGCGGAACGATTCGCGTGGAAGCGCGGTGAAAATCGCGCTAGCATTGGGGCGAAAACCGCCGCCGCGGACCGCCTCTCCTCTCGCGACAAGCGAGAGAGACGCAGCTACCGACCGAGGAATTTTAATAACCGGCGCGGAGCGAACGGGACGGCGATACAATCCGACATGTGTGTAAACGCGATATTGGGTAGGCGGGGACCGTCGCGCTCAAATTAATAGTCCCTGTGGAATACGCCTTATAGAATGATAGCGCGGCGGTGAAACTTGCACCGAACAGTGCGCAATTAGAGTCGAATTTGGCTCGCCGTGTAGACAACAAAAGTACGTAACGGAGTTGCGGGTGTTGGATTGCAGCAGCTATTGTGTTGAATGAAAAAGGAGTAAATAGACGGGTGCTGTAGGCGGAGGGGACTTTACGATTTAATTATTCGCGAATGCGGAGGCATTTTGTAGCGAGCTAATGTCTCATTGTCTCATTAATATCTCGGGCGGGCCGCCATGTTTGATTTGTTTATGACATGGGCCCGTAGGTGAGAACGTCGGACGTTTGTCGCTACCGTTCCTGAACGGGTTGTGAGACAGTTGTCGAGTTCGGAAACAGAGATTCAATGCCGGCACGGTGGAGCAGCGTGAAATTAATTTAGGTAGCACAATCAATGCCTAGCGGCACAGTGTATCGTAGACAGTTTGTAGACTGTTTTATGAGCCGCCGAGGCGTAATGGCAGTGGCTTGACCACAATAACCTTTGAGGGCCTTATCGGACTGCTGAAATTAGGTTGGCAGTCTATTGTTATGGAAAGAGAACAGTTTTGTTGATCATTTTCTCCTTCCGAACCCTTTATAACCGACTCAGTTGGATAGCTTTCGGGAAACTCCGGGATGTCTTCTCGTCCGTAGTATCGCAGTCCTTGAAGGTAAAAGTCAGAAAGAACGAAAGTCACCGACATAGCTCAAAAGATTAGTAAGTTGAAATGGCAATGGGCAGGGCACATAGCTCGTGGAACTGACGGCCGTTGAGGCAGAAAGGTTCTCGAATGAAGACCATGAACCGGCCATGAACCATGAAGGTGTTCAGTGGGAAGGCCCCTATTAGATGGACGGATGACCTTATAAAGGCGGTGGGTAACCAATAGATGCACGTCGCATCCGACCGGCTAGTCTGGCAATCTTTTGAGGAGGCCTATGTTCACCAATGGGCGTTTTTCGGCTGAGGTGATGATGATGATGATCGGAAACACACAACAAAAGACGTGTATTCTCCATCGTTAAATTTCACAGCGCAGGATTTACGTCAATGCACACAATCATCTTTTAAAAAATCTGATCAGATACTTCCCCCTCACTCGGGCTTTATTACAAACTCCATTTGAAGCGATAAGGGAAAACATCGCGAGCCCATTACAAACCGGAGTCTTTCCAAATCAAATCGTTAGCGCCACGTCACTTAACACCAAGTTAATCGCATTACATCGATATCTACCATCTCTTTGTGCATCTTCCAGAGGGGACGTTTTCGCGTCATTTCTTCCATCTTCAACCTTTTCAGTTCAAATATAGCGATCAAATTTCATTGTCGCCGAATCGGTCGATGTCAATTTCGCAAATATTAATAAAGGCTCGTCTATTCTGCTGTGCAGAAACAGCTCCTAACCGTTGGTAATAAAGTTGTGGTGTTATTAGCGACATTACGAGGGGTGTATCCCTGCAGCCAATTAACGTAATTTAATCGCACAGAGAGATTATAGCTCGCTTAATTGAAAGACTGTAATGGCTAGGGTCCATCTAGGGTTTATGTTTGGTGATAAATGGATTATGAAATGTTTTCTCTAAGGTCTTTCCGTTTTGGGGATGCTTTGATTTCTTGATTGCTTTATTTGTTAGTTAGTTCATTATTGTTAGTATTTATAGATAGATACTCATACACTTTATTTATCACGCACAAGAACAAAGACACTACCTATATAAAGTTAACAGTAATGTGGGCTAAGGCGGCCTCATTGCTAAGAGCGATCTCTTTTATACTAAGTGACGGGATGAAGAATTCGTGCGTCTGGTCGTAAGCGACACGCTTGTCTGCGGCAGTTGCAGTGCCACTCAGAGCTTTAAATCGCGAAGAGCTGAGGTGCACTACCACTCCGCTTGTCATCCAAGTCGGCAAGTCCTAAGTGCCTGTAATTTCACCAGAACCCTTACCCTTTAAAACCGGAATGCAGTAATGCTCACATTACTGCTTGTCGGAAGGAATAGGTAAGGTGGCTATACTACCCTGAACGAACTCTTTCACAAGGAGCTGGCTACCGCTGGAGCTGGAGCTACGGGGAACGCAGTAATGCTCACAAACCTCCCAAGAATACTTTTCCAGACCACCTTTGAGGTAGAGGAAATCTTTCCTATATATCCTAATCTTTCCTTAGAGGAAAGCCTTCGGTTAATATTTTAAATCCATAAATAAAAACTGCGTATTATTTGCATATACATAGGGCGCACTATACGTTTCCGGAACTGGCCACTTACATAAACAATATTTAAAAAGTAATTACAACATTTGAAAATGGAACTCTTTGGCTGTAGAATACAGTTAGTTTCATCTGACTGTCGCTTGTTTTTGCATTGTGGCGTCATTTTAGAAATTGGTTGTCTACATCATCATGGATTTAACTCGTGAAAATTTTCATAGTATGATTTTCTACGACTTTAAATGCAATTTAACAGCTCAGCGGAGCTTCCCTCGGCTTCAAACTGCTTTTGGCGATGAAGCACCATGCAAAACGACTATGTAAAGCTGGTATGTAGAATTCAAACGCGGTCGTGTTAATCTCAGTGACGAATTTCGTGATGGTCGCCCGTCCACTGCTGTGAACAACAAAAACATCGATGCTGTGCGCCGTAAGATCAAAACAGACAATCATGTGACATACCACAAGATTCGGGCATCTTTAGGCATGGGCATGAGTCAAATACAATCAAAACTACACAAACATTTGGGTATGAAAAAACCGTGCTCTCGGTGGATCCCACACAATTTGACTGATGCTCAAAAAACGGATTGCGTCACTTGGTGCCATGCTTACCAGACTCAACGAAGGGGCGTCAAATTTGTTGTGGGACAGTAACAGGTGACAAAACATGGATTTATAGTTACGACCCCAAAACAAAGTAGCAATCGAGCGTATGGGTCTTTCGAGATGAGGCGAAACCAACCAAAGTGGCGCGCGTACAAAGTGCCTCTAAGGGGATGATTGCTTCTTTTTTATAATAAAACTGGACACGTGGCTACTGTTGCCTTGGGGAATCGTTGTACCATGAATAGTGATTGGTACACGACCATTTGTTTACCGGAAGTTATTGACAAACTCCGTAAAAATAACCGTAAACGCTGTATCATCTTGCTCCACGGTAATGCCAGTTCTCACACGGCTAGACAGACAAATGAATTTTTGAAGGTAAACAACGTTGACCTTATGAGCCATCCCGCGTACAGTGAAGACCTGGCACCTTGTGACTTTTATTTATTTCCAAAAATTAAGAACCAGTTACGCAGTTAACGATTTTCATCACCTGAAGAGTCTGTCGAAGCGTATGCAAAATATGTTTCAGAGATTGTCACGGAGGAGTGGCATAAATGTTTTCAAAATTGGTTCAATCGTATGAAAAAGTGCATTAACGCTAGCGGAGGATATTTTGAGAAACAATAAATTAATTTCTGACCATTTATAGTATTCTTTCTTATTCATTCCGGAAACTTATAGTGCGCTCCACGTATATACCAGAATGTAAGTAATTTGACTAGGTTCGTAGCAGTAGAGCTCCTTGTGCAAGAGTTCGTCTAGGACAGTACTATCACCTTACCTATTTCTGCCGCCAAACAGTAATGCGAGCATTATTGCATTCCAGTTTTGAACGGTAAGGATGCTAGTGAAATTACAATCACATGAGACTTTTCAACTCATGTCTTAGGGTGACGGGCGCAGTGGCAAAGCACTTTGAGCCTCAGATCTGCACTGAAACTGTTATGGACAGGCGTGACGCTTACCACCAGGCGCACGGCTTGTCCATCCCGTCACTTAGTATTATAAAAAGAAAAAGAACCATAGGTTACGGTTACTCTGTCTAACAGAGACTAGGTTCGATTCTCGACAGGAAATGAAAATACTAAATTGATTCAGGTGTAAAGCCTTTGGGGTTAGTGCCGTTGCTCTATAGAGGGAATTCCTTAGGTGTAGTTGTGAAAGTATTTAGTGTAATTGTCTAGCATAACTTTATTGTTATTAAATAATAATAGTTAATCTACACATAAATCCACTTCTGGGTACAATCCTCCTCTCACAGTGAGGGGACTTGGACCGTAGTTCCCGTGCGGGTCCAATGCGGATTGGATTGGATTCATCGTTAAGTTGCTTTGCAGATGTACGCCGGTTTCCTCACGATGTTTTCTTGGCAAATAAAT